AGAAGAAGAATCGCGAGAATCCATAATATAGTAGGATTAAAAAGTTTAGTAGTGACTAGTGAGAACTGAGTATGAAGAAAGTATGAAGAATGAAAAATGAAGTATGAAGTATAATTATAGTAACAAGTATGCAGAAATTGTAGTAAGGTAGTAACAAGTATGAAGAAATGAAGTATGAAGTATAAATGTATAATAACTAATGAGAGGGTATTGTAAAAATAATTATAAGAATGAACTGAAATTTATAGATGAAGAGGATGATATTACCGTTATAAAAATAATATTACCGTTACTAAAAAAATTTAAAAAACTTTTTTTTGACGCTGCAAGCTACGCCTGTTGTGCCCTTTTTTTTTTTAAATTTGTTTTTTTTTACGGGCCGCGGGTTAACCTCGTCCCGTGGGGATGCAACCCGCAAAGCCCGCGAGTTACACCTTCTTGGTCCGTGAACCGCCCGCACGGGTCACGAGTCAACCCGCGGTCCTGGTTTTCACGGGCCAATTTTCACGGGTATGGCCGACCCGTCCGCCTTAACACCTCTAGTCAACAGTCGTATAATAATCAATCAAGAAGAGCTTGTAATTGTTTTCGATGAGCCATTTATTGACCAGTGCTAAAACAATAAGATGACAATGACTCATAGTTCTAATGTCCATTTCTAAGACAGTTGTGGAATTCCACCAGAATCCAGAGGGCATCAAAGGTATGTTTTGGTACTCAAAGTATTAGGTGTGCTCCATTCAGCAATCATCATCACTACTAACTAGGCTTTGGCATGGTTTGGGTAAATTCCGATTCAAAACGACTCAATCCAGTCCGAACCAAATTAAACCAAATCGATTTGGAATTGGTGTATATAATATAAATGGTAAAGAATCGATTATCCCAAAATTATATTTGTGCTTTTATTATTTTGTTTTTTACGTTAAAAAAGATGAATTTTAAATTAAAAAAATGTATTAGCAGGTTAGATCAGCCTGACTTTATAATGGTTAAAATTAACCGAACCGACTCGATTTGATTTGGTAAGTTTTTCGGGTTTTTTCCGCATCCCTAGACTTGTATCCGTAATTAAAGGTTTATTTATCGGCTCCAATGATGTCAACATACATGTCCTTGGACCCTTTTGTAGTTCAGCATGTTCAATGTTAATTCCCATCTCAAATTAAGCAAATTACGTAGTATGCAACATCATATTTTGAAGTGCAATTGCAAGCGTAAATCCCAGTACGCGTGATATTTTGTATAATGCTGTTCAGACTAACAAGGGACGACAACTGAATGAAACTGGTAGTGCAACACCATAATTAACACTAACAGTAAACAAAGTTTGAAACTAACTTAACGCTGTACGTTAATCATATACATTCACAGCCCAACTTGAGCTCGACAGTAAATCAATTGGGTACAAAATGAGCTACTGAAACCGTGACAGCAGCCAACTATAATTTCGAATAAAGCTACTGATACTAGGAACCTAACTTTGACATATTGCCCCTGCGCCAACTAAATCCTAGCTATACAACGGCCAAAACCTGTGGAATTATATGTGAAAACCACATGCTTACTCATCGAGTTAAGTGAACAGTATCAGCAGAAATTGTTCCAAGATATGGGCATCACAATCTGAAGTTAGAATTTTCAAAAAGGATAAATATTTACACGAGGATGTGGGCTAATATTTCTAAATCGATAAGAGCAAAACTGATTGCTTCTGGTAAGGAAACCAGAGTAGTTACCTTGGAAACGCAGAAGGCCAATTATAATGGGCCACGTTGAAAGTGCTCTGAAGATGTATCCTTGTTACGTCTTGACTGGTCAGATACCTGGAACAAAAATGTAAGATCTTCCACTGTCAGACGAGTTGCAGTGCCGCCACTTTGATCATCACCAAAAGCGGATGCAATCATTTTTCTCTTGTCCTCCTGAAGACACAAAATAACAGTTAAAGAAGACTCGACTTGTAAAAATGAAACTATTTAAATGAGTGCATATAAATGAGAAGAATTCAAGAAAAGCTTAAAAGATGACAAGCAGTATCTCTATTGGCATATAAATGAGAGAGTGCATTTATTTGGGCTCTTATCTCATTTCTAACAGCTTTAAAATCTACTTTGTTAGCATATGCCTCAGATTATAATCTACCAACAACCCCTTCCCCACACCCCTTCTGCCCCCAACAAATTAACGGGCAAATCTAAAAAAATCCTCTTACCAAAAGGAGAAAAAAGACGAGCTGTCAATCTAATAATCACATTTTTTCCAGCTGATTTAGTTCCAAACCAAGTCAAAACTGACCTCAGGTCTTGATAAAACAGGAATACAATAAAATATCAATATTAGCATATCCTTGAAATGGTAAAAATCCTATAGAAGCTAAACAAACAGAAAATTGATAGACATGATTTCAAGACATTGAACAGACTAATTCTGCACAAGAAAGGAGCAACCCCAAGACATGCAATGATCAAATAAATACCATAAATTTTATTAATTGAAATACAATTCTCTATGCAATATAGGAGGCCAATTACTCTACTTAGAGCAAAATGGAAGAAACAGACATGTTTCAGCCTAATTATGGAGTGAGGCTCAGTTGTGCTGGATTGAAGTAATAAGCTCTGTGAGAAGATTAATTTGTGATATATAAATGATGTGGTTAGAGAAAAAAAGGATCGTCATTCAATAAATGAGAATATTAAAGAGCGATGTATCAGTCAAGGATAGATGAAATATAAATCAGGAACGAGCGAAAAATCCAAAATTATCATAATATAACTTTTCTCCACTTTCTTGCATAATCTCGAACCTCCACACTGGTATGAAGCCAACAAGTGAATGGATCAACTGGTAAATCATACAAAGCATTTACTACCTGAAGAGCTAGAATTCTATCTTCCACAGTATCCCTAATGGTTAACCGCGATACAGTAACCTCACGCGTCTGTCCTATTCTGTGGGCTCGATCAACAGCCTGATCTTCAGTTGCAGGATTCCACCAAAGATCCAAAAGGATCACGCGACAAGCTGCAACCATGTTTAGACCAAGATTTCCAGCTTTCAGTGACATCAACATAACCGACACCTGCAAAACCCAATTCTTATGTGAAGAAACGGTCCACTGGAGTCAGCAAAGCAAGATCCAAAGACAAGATCAAAATAAGATGTGGAACACCAAGGAAACTGATGTAGTACATAATCATGATTAGTAGTTTCCTATTATAATTGTGATTTATCTTTTCTAGTTGTGTGTATATTTTCTAATAAGTTTTATCTTTTTATTCTTATTTATTGTTTAGAATATGATTTCTTTTCTTTATTGATTAAAATAGGATTTCTAATTAAATTAGGATTTTATTAGTTTCATTATTTTAGTTTCATATTATTAGTAGAAGTAGAAAATAATTTTGCCTATAAATATAGAAGTATTGTACACTCATTTGATAACATCAATTATTATTCAACAATATTCAAGCAAGTTATTCCAATATTGTTCTTAAGTACTACATAATTCTTATTTTGCAAAGGTTTTGATTCCGACTAAGACAAAGGGAAATGTGCCTGAGGATGCTAGTGAAAAGTCTGCTGCTGCTGGGGATGTACTTGGACTTGCTAGTTATGCCTCAGATGAGGAGATCCAGAGTTCTGGTAAGCTAGAGTCAAAAGAAGACTCTTCACATGAGCAATCAATTTCAAGCAAGCTTTCGATAGGAACATCTGCTGTTCAGCATGGTGGTTCGAAGGAAGAAGCTGTTGGATGTGGTAATATTCTTGACAATGCAGAAACTGATGGTACTGGAAAAACAAAGGCAAACACTACGGGTGCAAATCTTGGTGCCGCAAGTACAGTGTTGTATGATGATAGGGCAGCTAGAGATTTGGCATGCAGTGATAATCAACGCTCCTCCGAGACAGAATCTGAAGTTGCAGAAGATGAAATGCGACATGTCTATGATGCTTCCAAGTCCAAGAAGACTACTTGGAAAGGCTGATGAGACAGTTGAAAGACAATATAGAAATTCAGATGCCAGAAAGTCAACAAGGGATGATTCACCAAGCCGAAGTACAAGGCATAGGTCAGAGGATAATAAAAAGAACCATACACAGAAAGACAATGATAGGGTAGTGGAAAGTTTTAAGGAATGGATAAGGGGGATGAGGACAATAGAAGGCATGAAGAAAGGCATGCAAAAAATAAAAGTTCCGTTGATCTTCTCTGCTGTCCAAATGCCAAAGAATTGCATAAACATAAAGAATTGAAAACTCCAACTGCTGATATGGATTCTTTATCCATGGAGAGGATAAAAGATTTGAGCCCACCTATTATTGAAGTCGGGGGATTCCAAAACTTGATTGAAGCGCAAGTAAGAGAGGTGAAAGAGAATGTTGGGACTTTAGTTCCACTGTACCAATGTAGCGTGGATTCTTACAGAAGATTTGATGGTTCTGTCATGTTTACTAGGGTCGCTGAGAAACACCGACACCTTCATAATGCGTTTGTGAAGCAGAACCCTAGCTTGTTTGAAAAATTGCTCTCTATGATGCTAAAAGCTCCCAATTGATTAATTTTTTTCTTCAAGAAAACTTGAGGACGAGTTTTATTCAAGTGGAGAGGATTGATGTAGTACATAATCATGATTAGTAGTTTCCTACTACAATTGTGATTTATCTTTTCTAGTTGTGTTTATCTTTTCTAGTAGGTTTTATCTTTTTATTCTTATTTCTTGTTTAAAATATGATTTCTTTTCTTTATTGATTATAATAGAATTTCTAATTAGATTATGATTTTATTTATTTTCTTATTTTAGTTTCCTATTATTATTATTAGTAGGAAATAATTTTGCCAATAAATATAGAGGCATTGTACATTTTTTTTATAGCATCAATTATTATTCAATAACATTCAAGCAAATTATTCCAATATTATTTTTAATTACTACATAATTCTTATTACAAGAATTTTTAAACGGTTTCGCACCAAAAACCATATTGACATCTCAAAGCATGCCTAGTAGAATATGTCGAGATAACATATAGATGTTAATTAGAGTCCATTAACCATCTAGATTAGAAAATGAATTTACACAACAAATGCCGCACATGTACAAAGGGGTACCCTCGATGAAGATCCCCTAAATGGGTGCATGAAGCACATGAGTACAAAAACTTTTAAGAAAAACTAATTTATGATCACACATTTTTTTATTTACTAATAAGAAAATTCTAAGGCCAAAAAGACCTTTAAAAATGTTTATGCCACAGTGAGAAACTAATTTGGAGCACACAGTAAGGTTATAAGAAAATGATCACGGGAACGAGTGTTTTTCTAACATCTTGGCAACTTTCCCAAACAGAATAAAAATATACATCAATAATCATGTTGTTGATACATGCCAGCAAAATGGTATTGCCAAGAGAAAACATGGACGTGTTCGAACTCACATGGTGCCTTGTGTTTACAACTAGGGTACCAACAATTTTGGGAAGAAAAGATTATATAGCTTTTTTGATTAAATCGCATGCCTAGCCACATTCTAAATTTTCAAACCCCTTTAATGCCTTCATACATATCTATCCCAAAACTGAACTCTTCACTTCTAGTCCTCCTAAACTCGTGTCAATCATCTTAGAAAAATTAGACCATTGGCTATCAAATGAATTTTTTTTGGGACACTCTCCTAGTCTAAAAGGTTATAGTTGCTATATCTTGAGTCCAAGATTGTTAGTCCCCTTTGAAGTCACTTTCTTTGAAAACAAGTTTCTCTTCCCCAAACTTCTCTTCGGGGGAAGAGTTCTGAAGGAAATCAATTTTGAGAATGAGACACTTGACTCTTGGGTGCCATAAACTATGACCGAATAACATGCGGCGGAGGACACCATTCAAATATCCCAAAAAATCCTTAAAAATCCCAAAGAGAAGTCAATATTATATTCATATCCCTCAAAATAGGATACCATCTACTCTCATCTTTTAAAGTATAGTTACTCCAACAAATTTCCTTCTGTTTATCTTTGTTCTTACCAAAAAGAACTACACATGCCTTTGCTTTCCAACTTGATCGCGTTCTTAGACTTTTAAAACTCGTCAAACTCTGAAATAACCTAGAACTTGCATCTCCCTCTTTTAACCATCTAAACTTCAAAATTTATTTTGTCTCCAATCAACTCCTTGAAAATTATCTCTTCTAGGCTTTTTTCTCAATAGAAAATGTTCCTTGTCGAGCTCTTCAGTCAGGTTTCCCTCATTCTCTAATTGATCTACAATCACCAACCTACATAAGATATTGTCCTTAGGCTCTATCAATCCTCTGATTCACATTCTTCATTTTAAAACTTGAGTCAATTTCCAAACAGCTTCAATTTTGAAATTTGAGGCATTCCAGCAATCTGAAACCTTTCGCCACACTACCTTCTAAATTTAGGATGTCTTAACCACCTGCTTGCAAATCTGAAAGGAGTGGGCCCTAATGAAAAAGTAAGAATTGGAAATATCTGGTTACTGCGCTCACACCTACCTCCAAACTTAAATCTAGGTACAATTCCTGACAACCTAAAGAAACTACCTATCTGATTTACAAGAGACCACATTTTCTCTGACATTAGACCATGTGAACTTGGAATTTCGAAAAGGTATACCCTAAGTTCATACTCTAATAGAACAGCCAAAGGTTTTCAAACTTCTAGGCACCCTATGTCCAAACCAGCCCAGTCAATCATTTAGGTCACATATCTCACTCTTTCGCCCTTCTCTTTTTCTACCCATGATCCCATTAACAACGGCCTTATAACCAGGAACTCCACAGGTCTAGCCTTCTCATTTCTCAAGAGCACAAACTAAAGTTTCCTGACGAACAATTCATCAATTGACAGAAAGCCTTAGGAATTCGCAGAGTATTGACTACTACTAGCAATTTATTGTAAACCTAGATTAGACCACGGGAACCACTAACCAAAAACCTAAATACTTTATGAACAAGGATTAGTTGGTCAGATAAAACAAGATTTCACTCTTATAATAAGCTTAGGGTGACAAATGACTATCATTCCATAGCTCAACATCATTAATTTTGTGATACCTACAGCTGATCACACTTCAAAATAGTTAAGAAGACTGAAATATCCGAGATATGGAAGAAGTTAATATTGCCTTACCAAGTAAAAGTCATCATATACCACTGGATGAAGTTATATATGCAAATAAACAACTATTTAACAAGACCTCTTCTATTATTAGTCTAACACCTCTAAATTCCCATATGTTGCCTATGCATCTGACGTTGAAGTTATACTGTAATTTGCCACTCAAAGAATGGACCATGGGTTTATCCAATGTATCCTCAATGAAAGATCCTTGCATTTAATCAGATTTATTTTCCAAGTTAAAGAATTTAATGACAAATAGCTATATTTGTTAGCTTATCAGAATGTCTCAAACCAAAACATATCTTTAGTTTAAAGATCATGTTGTTGGTTCTTATGCATGCAAAAGGGCAAATGTTTGATAATACAACAAGCTATTTCAATATTAAGGGAAAGGATCAACATAATATAAGAGCTGACAAGTGACAACTATATGTCCAAGCAGATACAGATGAAAAATTGATAATCTACTAATCCACATCAACCGAGAAGGGACAATTCCAAGGCAGCAAATCCACTGAATTCATTAAAGCTAGAAAGAAAATGAGTAAAGAGACAGGAATCCAACCTCAGGTATGGTATTAAAATCTTTGACAGCCTTGTCTCTCGCAAGTAGAGTCATTGTACCATCAAGCCTCCGGTAACTTGTGCAAGAATCTTTCAGGGACTCCTCAACTAAGTTCAACATGCCAGTCCACTGGGAGAAAACAATAGCTTTTTCAGGTCCTTCGGTATCTGAGTCTAGGTAACCTTTACCGGAAGATGAAGCACCATTGCTGGTCTTGGGTTTGCAATGTGACTTGAGAATCTCTAAAACCGCTTTGATCTTAGAGGAGATGTACTCATTGCGAAGAACCAGAGAATTATCATCAAGTTCTGATGAGACAGCGATGTCATTGTCAGTATCACTAGAGATACATCTCCATAAGGTAGGTTTCGAATATACAACATCAGCACCAAGTTGTTCTTTACATTCGGGGGCTGGGCATGTACTGTCTTCCCCTGTCAAAAACTCGTTGACACACTGATAGCAGAAAACATGTCCGCACATGGTGACAACTGCATTTTCAGGAGGATCCTGTTGAACATCAAATTATTCAAAAATCACATCAGGCTGTTGTGCAGCATACTTCTGGTACTTAAGAGAACAAACAATCACAGAATAAGAAATAAGCAAACATTTAACTTTTTATCTGAAAATATATTTGGAACTTACAAACATTTTATTGTTGTCCAAGAGTAGGGAATACCACACCGTGTATCCCTCATCTCAATAGATGGACAAATCGGGTATGTATGCGATTGTGAACCAATGCAAAATGTGCGTGTTTGAAAAGAACTTTTGGAGAAAAACACAAGAATGTGATCTATGAACTGCAAATACAGGTGAAAATGAAGCAAAAGGCAGTCCCAAAAGAAGGAAAGGTGCTTCAAATATGGTAACTCCAGTCTTTCGCAAGACTTCCCATTCCTTTCTTTCAAGGAAGACCATGTGTGACACTAGTGGGCAGCATCCCAAGTCCCCTTTGACCTTATGCAAGTAAAACGTGACTTCCAGCAATATGAGCAAACTTAAACATGGAGTCTGATGGTTCAAAAGGCCCCACAAAAGAGAAAATGATGTGCTAATCCCACCATGGTAGCTGAAGTCTATTCAATCCCTTCTCCATTCTAGAGAAAATTCACTACTTTCTAGAGAATATCCATTTGATCTTAAAGTTTTATGTGGCTCAAAACAAAGAAAGTGATGTACAAAGCATCAAAGTGCCAAGCCATCACTAAGCTTCTTAAGATAAAATCACAACTGAAGATTCTTGGTATGCTACTTTATAAATTACAGTGCAACACAGATCAATTTTATTATCTATTCACTAAATTTAAAAAAGAAAACAGCATAACAAAGATTGGGTGGGGGTGGAGGTGGGGGCATCCTCAAACAAGTTAACATGCACATCTGGCATGTCAAAAAGTTTACTAGTATGCAAGCACTAAATGCAGCAATCATGATACAAAAGGAGTTTGACAAGGGATAACATACTTTGCATACAAGACATATTGCCAATGAAGCTTCTAAAAGCTTTAGTAAATTCACTAGCAGTTCCTTGGGGAGTGTCTTCGCCATGTCAGAAGACTCTTTTCCAACAGGATCTGAGCTGAGTCCTTTGACAAGTAGAGGGTGATCACAAGCCTGGCGAAGACGGAGAAGCAGCAATAGAATATTTGCATAATTTTGATTCACAGTACCAGCAGCCGCATAAGCCTGCATTTGTGGTTAATCAATTTTGCAAAGATCAGTAAACTGAACATAAGATAAAATTATAAGATTTTTATCATATATAACATAATGATTTTTTTCGTAGACTTCCAAAGCTGTATATGTTCCAAGGAACACAGCACCAGTTCTATTCCTATGAAAATGAAACGTTAAGAGGCTACTGCACTAGCATGAAAATTATCTGTCATTATACAGTAGACATGAATCCATTAAGAATTTAAAATAACTAAGGAACTGTCATTACATTGGAGACAAACAACACCTAAAAAAGCGGACATGATAAAACCATATGCAAATGCTTCATGAGGCATTAATAAAATCAGCACAACTCAGACTAACTAAGCCATGTCCCACAGTTATATGGGGTCAGCTACATGGATCCTCTTCTTACAACCAGCTCTATCAAGGAAAACGTCTAAAGTTAAATTTATTACAAAATTTTAACTTCAACTATGCATACATGCATGTGGATTCAGTACATTATAGATAAGAAAGTGAATGGATGGATTGGGGGGGGGGGGGGGGGGNATCAATGTACCTACGCCACAAAGGCTAACGATAATCAGCACTGCCAATATAAATGATTCAACTGATTTTGCGCACACAAATAATGACACATCATTTGAATGAAGTAAATTAACAAACACGGTAAAATTTAGTCGACTGTGTGGATTAGAGTCCACCACAATCGAACCAGAAAAGTTATGAATGATCAGGTGGAAATATGTCAAATCAAGAAGTGTTCTACGCCTGTATGATAAATCGGTTTCCCAACCAGTATATGCTTAGCATATCAAATTCAATAAAAAAAGGAATTTCTGTTGATGCACCACCCAAACAGGAAAGGAGAGAAATCAATGTAGAGAAATAAAATCAGTTTACTAAAGGAACCAATAAGCAATGTGAGTCAACAAGTTGACACTTCCAATATGTATCATAACAAAGCAGAGAGAACATTTTGTATTCATTAGCACAAACACTATTTATTGCAGTGCAGGATATAATACTTGTCCCGTAGCACATGAATACAAATTATATCATCCCCCCAACCCCCACATGTATTATACTTTTTTATGACACAGAACATGCAATTGTTGGACCTGCATTCCCATCAAATGTGACTTACAACGAGGTTTGATGACATTTGATCAACTAGGTGATGATTGAAATAAAATTCATGCTGGTTTGTAACAAATATATGAAAAGAAGATACATAACAATCAAATATTCTCTAGATCTAAAAATCAGTTATGTTTGTAACTTGTCATAAAGTTTCATCAACAAGGTTCTAGGAAGGGGAGATGTACAGCTCACAAGATACAAAAAGAGTTCTATTAACTGTAACAAGTCAACAAAGCAAATATTTGGAAGAAATCCAGTCTCGATAAATGCTTCTCTAGATGGGCTTTTACTTCCCTTTCCTAATTTTATTAATCAATTATACAGATGCTCATGTTTGCTAGTAAGTACAATGATATAATATCCCGATGCAGACTATCAATAATCAAATTCTTGCTGCCTGTAAAATAACAGGGTTAAAAGGTACCACTCCCTTCGTGCACCAATATGAACTCATGATCATTCACTCACTCGGAGTGCTTTCTTTTTCTTGTGCCTCTTCTTTGCCCATTCCCCTTCTCGCGATGGCAATTTCGGGATTCTGGAGTTCATAAAGAATTTACTTATCTATTTATTGTTCCATTCTATCTTCGAGTTTTGAAGAAAATAAATTCTAAGATTGTTAAAATTCACTAGTGCACCAATAATCTATATTTACTAGATTAACAAAATGGAAAGGAAAAGAAAAACTCAAGCATAGAATTCAAATCTAGCATAAGATGGAGTGGTCAAGCATAAAAACTACTCTTCAAAGTAAAAGATGAACTGGTACTTCTATATATTTCTATCTGTTGTTATTAGTTGCTGCGAATAGCCAATTGGTATTATCTGATTATCAGAAGGTACAATGGCATTCTCTAAACCATGTTAACTTGTTAAAGAATCTTTATCATGCAAAAGAAAGACCTGGTTTAGATTATAAAAAAAAGGAAAGAAAGAAAGAAAGAGGAAAAACACAAACAGCTAATAAACTATGAGAGTTCAAAAAAAGGGAAAATAAGGGAAATATAAATATCCCAGGCAAAGAAAAGGATAAATATTAATTACTAAATTAAGGCCATTGTTCTTGGTGTATAAAAGTAGATGTTTCCATTTCTGTCAATGATCGAGAATCTCGTTCAAAATTCAGCTGCTTTAAATCCTTTAGGATGATCTTCGCGTCTTATACCAAACAAATTTCAGATTTTAATGCTTATCCTTTAGAATCAATGTTGCAGAATTGCAACTGGATGGTGCCACAGTGACTATCTAGGTACTTTTACAAGCAGTACATGATGCTTCACACCTAACAAGATCAATCTGTGACCAAAACAGCGCTTTCTATAACAACTGGTTCTCAATCATAGATCTTTGGTTGATCATTATGACTTCTGTGTAAAAACCATACATCAAAAATCATCAGAGAGATGACACCCACAAGCAACAGTGCCAACAGGAACTATACTACGAACACAAGGATCACCCACTCCACACTGTTAAAAAGTAAAAGACCAAGGATTTGGTCAGTGTTCGCAGATATCAGTTAGAACACTATCCGCATGATTGGATTACTGCTGGACAGTTTCATGTGAGAACAATATATCTCCAGCTAGACAATCTAGCACATAATATTAGCACACACACGCAAAGGCTTGTACAATAATCGAACCTTAATAGGAATTATAGATTGGATATAAATAAACAGATCAGCTGCTCGGTATGCAGCATAAGAATTAGATTAAGCAATCAACTACCATATTCCTATCTTAGAATCCTTTCTACTCATATTATCTTGAGCGAACATACAGGTGATGCAAAAATCATAGAAAAATCTAATAATGAAAGCAATCACCTTTTGTTCGGCGCAACATGATCTGTCTTAAGATGACTTGAAGTTTCTTGTAACCATGAACTGCATTCCTAGAGATTGGGAACTTGATGGAAGCACCAAATGATTTCAATTTATCATATGGTTGATATCTCAGAAACCTGAAATAGCTGAAGACTTCATCAATTGAATTTTGTATAGGTGTTCCAGACAAGCACCACCTTCGTTTTGCTCTAAGGCTGCAGCAGGCTCTAGCTACCTGTGTTCTGTGATTTTTTATTGTTTGAGCTTCATCTAAAATTACTCTAGACCATTTCACCCTAGCAAGTGTACCACAATCAGTATCAAAAGAAGAGACATCAATTTCATTTCCACCCTTCTTGCGGCTCTTCTTAACTGATGACTTTTTTGGTTTCTTGTTTATGGAAAATTCAGAAGATAATCCATATCTTGCTGCATCTTTTTGTTCATCGTCGTCCTCTTCAACCAGAGGTCGTTTAGGAACTTCATTCGTCACAATGGAATATGTTGTTACAACCACATCATACCTTGCCAACGCAGCAGGATCTTTTGTCCTACTTCCTCCATGATAGACTAAAACCGAAAGTCTAGCTTCAGATGTAACTTTCTCATCCAACTCTCGAGCCCACTGTCGAAGAACACTGGCTGGACAGACAACAAGTGTACCTGCTGCTGGCCTCCTACCACGGAATTCACCCATCGAACGACTTGATTTTGGAAGTGCCGTAAAATCATCAGATCCTTGAGTCTGATTTTCTTCATCAAGCTTAACAACACTAATTTCATCATCATCATCCAAATTCAAGGGTTCAGCTCTGAAGCTACAAGAATCTTCAGGTTTGGATTTTGCTTCTAAAAGCCTCTGCATCTGTATGAGGGCAATCATTGACACGGTCTTACCAAGGCCCTGTGGTAAGTATAATTATGACCTAGGCTAGAAAAAGTCAAAAGTAAAAGATGAAATCGACCATGTTACTGGCTCTGACCTGATCATCAGCCAGAATTCCACCCAAACAATTAGTACTTGATTCCTTCTGGAGCATCCATGCCAAAGCGATTTTCTGAAAGATGAGATGCTACAGTCTTAGGACCACAAATACCTAACACGATTAAAAGATATTTAATACAAAGACGTGGACCTGGTGCCTGAGAAGAGAAACTGTCAAGGTACCATCACGTACATTAGCTTCAGTTTTAGGCTGATGAAGGTCCTGCAGGATAAATATTTAAACAGTATGTACATATCAAATATCCACTAAATAGAAACTAAGTAGTCAAAGATGCTGCTGCAACACACTTTTTCCTAATATAATTTGGTAATGAGCACATTTGGCTATGACATCATGACCTCTCTAAGATTTTTAAGGAATTAGGCAGTATTCTAAGCGAATGCGATAATCACGTAGCCAACTTCAGTGAAAACCTCAATGAGACTAAACAATATTATCAGTAGTCACTGTCCTAGGTATACAGACCATAAAAAGAAAATTGAGAATAGCAACAAAACAAAAGAGTATGTTTCAAAAGTGTCCATAGATGAGAAGAAATATCCGTGTTAAAAGTTAGTACAAATAACGTAACGGTTTTACAACTATTAGTCTGTTTCTGATCATTTCTGTTATGCCCAATGTTAATAGGAGGCACATCCAAGTTGGATGCTATATACCTTATAGCATCGTACTACTTTAACCATAATGTAGAATCAGATCTCAAACTACAGGTCAAGTGAAGTAATATAGTAAACAAACCAAATCATCAAAACCTTGTCCATCGGACTCCTAGAAAATCGTAAGTATCAAGTGACTCTAATTTTGCGTACTAAAGAGATAAAAGATTAAATTGGTTATCCTGAACGTATTATAAACGACTTTAACAGGAAGAGAAAAACAAATTATCACAAATCACCAACTCCACCAGATTAAGGATGAATTACTAAAATATCCATATGGAGCAAGAGTCTCATAAATAGCTTACCTATCATCCCTGTGATGGATGAGCTGAATTTATCAATCAAACTTGCAAAATTCAATAACATCCAACACTTCAATTCGAAATTCAGATCTCAATTACAGAAGAGAAACAGAAATGAAGAGAGAGAGAGAGTTCAGAGATGGAATCCTCAAATGATACTTCAGACCTTTTCCCTCTCTCACCTAACCTTATAACATAAAATGAAATTGACTGTTTGGGAAACACATTTTTACAAAAAGCACTTAACCTATTATAATTAATATTCAACATCCAACGACGTCGTACAGCATTTGAATTTCAGTTGGCCGTTGAAGTTCCTTCTTCATTCCTCTTCCTTGCCCTGGCACTTCTCTGTCCTTTGCTTCCCCAGTCCAGCTGATATTCCCCCTTTGTGCCTCCATCATGACATCCCTCCCCCTTCGAAAGACCTTGTCCCCAAGGTTTAAAAGTTGGCAGTGCCACAGATGCAACCTCTTTCTCCCCAATTTTTTTCTTAAGCAACGATACATAAAAGATTGGATGGATCTGAGCTGCAGAAGGTAATTCCAGTTTGTAAGCCACAATCCCCAATCTCTGAATCACTTTATAAGGTCCATAGTACTTCGCCGAAAGCTTCTTGTTGGTTCTTCTGGCCACAGTTTGTTGTGCATAAGGGTGTAACTTCAAGTACACCCTATCTCCTATTTGAAATTCTCTTTCACTCATGTTCTTATCTGCATAAAACTTCATCCTAGCACTGGCCTGAGTTAGATTCTCCTTCAGAGTTTTGTCCATCTCGTGTCTTTCCTGCAATACCTCATCTACTGAAGTATTGATGATCTGTTGGTTGGGCCCTAAGGCCAGCTAAGGCGGTTTGATACCATACAAAGCTTCAAAAGGTGTCATCTTAATGGCAGTGTGCAGGGTGGTGTTATATCATGCAACTTATGGATGTTATCCAAGAATAATTTGGCAATAGTTGGGACTGAGAAGGAATGGGATAACAGTAGGAAATGTGCATACTTGGTGAATCTGTCCACTACCACTAAGATTACATTCTTACTCCCTGAGGTAGGTAGACATTCGATAAAGTCCATGGAAATGTAACCCCAAACATACTGTGGAGTTGGTAGAGGTGCCAAGATGGATGGGCCGGCCAGACCCTTGAAAACAGGCCCGGATCAACCCGGGACCGCGGGCCGACCCTTGACCCAAGCGGGCGGTTCACGGGTCAAGGAGGTGTGATCCGCGGGCTTCGTGGGTTGAACTGCTGGCCCGTAAAAAAAAATTTAAAATTTTGAAAAGAAGGGGGGGTGCCAACCTATTTGGGATGTACTTATACTATAAATATTTGAAAATAGTAATTAGAAATGCATTTAGTTGTTATTTGTTTAAGTTAAATTTAACTTTGCAATGTTATAAATAATTCATGTAACATTAAATTTGAATTCTATGTAAACATTTCTTAGTATAAATATGAATTTATCATTTCGTTCAATTCTTAGTTTACATTTAACAAAAAAAAATTTTTTGTTATAAATATGAAAATTTTTATATTTTTATAATCTATAATTTTATTTATACAATAATACAGGCCAAATCGAAACAAACTGCGACTTGCGCGACCAGTGACCCCCGCATGGGCTCGACCAAGATAGGTCAGCGGGTGGGTCTGGGTCGTAATCCAAAATTTATGGACCAACCCGGAACCCGTAGCGGGCAAGCTTTTTTTCACGTGGGTCGTTACCGAACTCATATGTTGGCGGGCCGACCCAGCCCAGACCACCCGGATTGACACCTCTAGGAGTTGGTAAGGGTTGCAATAATCCAGGGTAGGCTACATGTTCATCTTTGCATCTTTGGCAGGTGTCGCATTCCAAGACTTCCTTTTTGATGTCCGTGCTCATCCCTAGCCAAAAAAAATGTTGCTTGGCCTTATGAATACTAGCCTGTATCCCAAAGTGTCCCCCTTCTTATAAGGAATGTATGGCAGCTACCAACTTCTTCCTGATGTCATCACCTGAGCTAATGTAAACTCTGGTTTTGTACTTATGTAGCCCATTCAAGTAGTGGTAGTCCAATTCTGAGTTGCTATCAAGTAGTAATGCAGTAATTTTAGTCTGAGCCTCCCTATCTCCTTGGTAGCTGGTCATCACCTCCCTTATCCACACTGGTGTGACTTTTGTAATTGCCATGCATTCTGGACTCTTTTCCTCCCTTCTAGATAGAGCATCTGCCACATGATTTTCCACCCCTTGTTTGTATTGTATCTCATAGCTGAGCCCCAACAGCTTGGATAACCATTTTTGTTGTAATAGGGTAGTGACTCTTTGCTCCAACAGGTACTTGAGTGATTGGTGGTCCGTTTTAATTATGAAATGGTGGCCTTCAAGGTAATGTCTCCACTTACTCACTGCTATAACTAATGCCAGTAGCTCCTTTTCATAAATCGATAGGCCTAACTTCATGTTGTTTATGCCCTTACTTAGATATGCTAATAGCCTCCGATTTTGCATTAGGATAGCCCAATCCCTCCATAGCATGCATCTATTTCAATTATGAAAGGTAAAGAGAAGTTTGGTAACGCTAACATGGGGGTGGTACTCATAGCCCTTTTTAATTCCTGAAAAGCCAAATCAGCAGCCTCACTCCAAATAAAATTGTCTTTCTTTAGTAATTCAGTCAATGGTTTTGCCATGGCCCCATAGCCCTTTACAAACCTCCTGTAGTAGCCAGTTAGGCCTAGAAATCCCCTTAACTGTTTGACGTTAGTTGGTTTAGGCCACTCCTGCATAGCTACAATTTTTGAATAGTCAGCTGCTACCCCTTCTGCTAAAGATGTGTCCGAAGTACTCTATTTTGGATTGCCCAAAGGAACATTTACTCTCTTTAGCAAAAAGCTGGTGGTGTTCGAGGAGCTCCAGTAACTCGGTGACGTGTTCACAATGTGATTTCAAGTCTTAGCTATAAACGAGTATGTCATCAAAAAATACCAAAACAAATTTCCTAAGGTGATGTTTAAATACTTCATTCATCAAGTATTGGAAAGTTGCAGGGGCATTGGTAAGCCCAAATGGCATTACCCTGAATTCATACAAGCCACCATTTGTTTTAAAGGCTGTTTAATGGGTGTCTTCTTCTGCCACCCTAATTTGGTGGTATCCAGCCCTTAAATCGATTTTTGTAAACCATCTTGCTCCCTTTAGTTCATCCAATAACTCATCCATGATTGGCATCGGGTATTTATCCTTAATGGTGAGACTATTCAGCTGTCTATAGCCTACGCAAAACCTCCATGTGCCATCCTTCTTTTTTACTAGCAGGACGGGGGAAGCACAGGGGCTATTGTTGGCCCTTATGATTCCATTTTTCTTCATTTCCTTCACCATCGTTTCATTCTCCCCTTTCTGAACATAAGGACACCTTTATGGTCTGATTTTAAATGGCTATACACCCTCCTTCAGTGGTATATGATGATCATTAAATCATGTAGGTGGCAATCCCTTAGGTTCCAGGAAAACCATAGGAAATTAATTTACCACTGCCTTAAGTTCAGTTAGCATGGGTTCCTATTCTTTCTCAGTGATGGCAAGAGATCTGAGCCACTATACCATAAGGTTGCTTCTTGAATTCACTCTTCTTTCCAGTACCAATCATCATTTGGAATTCTCCTCTGATCAATTCATTCTGAAGTTTAATTTCTGTACGCTCATGATTGAAGGTTATACTTCCTTTAACAAAATCAAACAACACAAGGCTGAATTGGCTTAGCCAGTCCACTCCAAATACCATATCACTCCCTCCCAATTTAAGCACCCTCAGCTGGAACTGAAATTCCAGATTCTGCATCCTCCAGATCAGTGGATTACACACGGCTATACTGACCAGTCTCCCCCCCCCCCCCCCCCGGCCACAGTTACTTAAGTAGGTTTTGCCTACTGCATCTTACAGTTGATGAACTGAGCCAATTGTTCGTCTATGAAACTGTGGGTGCTCCTACTATCAATTAATATAGACACCTTCCTTCTTTTAATCATCCAAAGAAGTCGGATCGTCTTTACCGTAGGGCTGCCTACCTACCAATGCATTGATGGATATATGCATTACTTCGTCCACCACCTCCTTACCCATCTAATCTTCAACCTCATCCAGTGGTTCCTCTGCCTCCCCGCCATCTTCATCGTCCACTAGTATAAAGTTGAGCATCTTATTCCTGCATACGTACCCTTTAGTATACTTTTCATCACATTTGTAACACAATCCCAGCTCCATTTTGGCATGAAAATCTGTAGGGGTGATAGCTTTAAATTTAAGAGGGTTGTTGGAGTTTTTGGAAGGAGGGTGTTAGGCTTATTTGTAACTTCATTTGGCTTGGGGTTAGGATTTGGATTGGTCCATTTCGAGTAGGGGTGTGGTTTGAAGGTTTTGGGTCCTTTGTTTAAGGCTGATATGGTATTCTCCTGTAAGAAGGCGATCTCAAAAGTTTTGACAAGGGTGGAGGGTTGAATCATTTTCACCATGGATGTGATCTCATCTTTCAGTCCTCCGGTGAAAATCGAAATATAATATAACTCGGGTAGGTGGGATAAGGATACCATTACCTGGGATTTCAGCTCCTCAAATTGTTCCTGATATTCCATGGCAGTCCCCTTCTGCTTTAATTTGTCGAAGACTTCTGCTACTTCTTCAACTGTATTCTCAGCAAATCGCTTGCAAATCCCCTTCGCAAAAGCATCCAATCAGCAATTGGGTAGCTGGAGATGAAGCCGTAAAACCAAATGTCAGCCTTACCTTTTAGATACATCTCTGCGATTCCCACTTTCAACTCATCCCATACCTGATGTATTTGAAAGTACTTGTTTGCTTTCCTCAACCATTCCATTGGCCCTTCTCCACTAAAATAAGGGAAATCTATCTTTGATAATTTGGCAGCCATCTTGATCTCCCTACTTCTGTTGGAATTACCAAAGTGGATTTCATTTCCCTTAGGGCTGTTCCCACTGGTTAGAGATGATGACCCATATCCTTCAGCTTGTTTCTCCTTGTATTCAGCCTTATTACCATCCAACTGAGCTAACATTAGCACCATCAAATATTCAACACCCAACGACGTCGTACAACATTTGAATTTCAGTTGGCTGTTGAAGTTCCTTCTTCATTCCTCTTCCTTGCCCTGACACTTCTCTATCATTTGCTTCCCCAGTCCAGCTCATATTCCCCCTTTGTGCCTCCATCGTGACAATCCCATACAAACTTATGCAATGGGACTTTATAACTTCAGAGAATTTCTAAGTTCGTTTCTTTTAGGACATTTTCAGACAAGAAATTACCGGAAACTTACCTGCTCCAACATGGTTCTCCTAAGAAAATCCGAGATTCCGAACTGACCAAATAATTTAGTGTAATCCCCAATACACATCAAAAAACAAATGAATCCAACTAAAATTCCCAAAACTCGCCACACAAAAAAAAAAATCTCATCATTCTTCCAAATATCGCAAGAACACCATCAAGTAGCCTAAATAAATACTATAAAATATGAGAGTATATTAGATTCTTGATTCACTAATAAGTAATAACTAATACAATTCTCCGGTAAAGCCTTAATTAGATATTTAGATTATAAAAGTTCTGGTCAAGCTTTAATCAAAATATCTTGTTAAGTTTAGCAAGCTACTGCCAGTATAGCTTTCATGTGTTGTACAGCGCCATCGCTAAAACACAAGAAGTGTATAGTTAACCCTATGATGAAAGTTTCGTAAAAAACATGGTTAATCCAAATGATGAAAGTTTCTCAAGGGGACACGAAGAAGCCTTTCGATAAACAAATGAATATTTATAATAGCTTTTATGTTGATCCTTCCATTGTGTTTGTGTAGCTTCCCCTCATGGGTTCTCTGCCTTATTTCACTTTACATGAAATTAGATACTGTTCTCCTTTATTTCATACATATCGTATCTGTGTTATCTGCCACCTATTTGAGTAAATTCACCATTAAATTCTGTTTAACAAGAAAACAACATGGACTCGTAAAACTCAACACAGAACCAACAGGCAACAGCAGTAGGTAAATTTTCTAAATTAAATATGCCTGTGTTTATGCATAAATGTATATCTGTTGCGCCTGTACTGCATAAATATCAGCAGTAATTCCACATTACATTTACAAGTTACATTTACAAGTCAAGAATCCTCCTTATTCGAACAGAAATTGCATAATCTATTAGTAGGCAGTTTTTGCTTCTATATAGTATACAATTTTCTCTTTCAGTTTCTTCTATTTCGTAAAAGCAGAATCAGAAGAAAAAGTCACTACAAGCAATCAAATGTTGATTTTTCCACTTCAGAAGCAATTCCAAAAAGGAGAGGGAGCAATAAAGCTTAAAATAAAAATAAAAATATATAAATAAACCCATGGTATGAAAAAACCCTGCTGAGCCCGCCTTGATGCCCGCCTCACTATGAAGCGCAACTTCTGTGCCTCGAAGCTCAATCTGTGAGGTAAAAAAAATGAGGTGTGCGCCTCATTTGAAGTATGTTTTTTTTCAGATTTTTGAAAATGAATTAAAAAAGACCCTCTTTAAAAAAGAGAAGGGTCCATTTAAAAAGACATTTTGGGCCAAACAAAATATTAAAGTATCTAGAATACCAAAAGTTTGACAGAATTCCTTCTACACGGCAGACAGAAATCTTCCTAAATGGCCAGAACTACACGGCAGTTAGAAATCTTCCCAGAACTAAACGGCAGCCAG